GTTCGGTTTGAGAAGGTGGAAACGATTCTTTCTATCCTACCTCCGTGTCCTTTAAATATATTCAAAATCGAACTATTAATTCTTATTTGATATACTTTACCATGTATGTATATATATTATTATTATATATATATTATATATATGTATATATATATACATATATATACATATATATATATACATACATATATATATATATACATATGTATATATACATACACATCCATCCACCCCCCACCCCCCTCCTGCACACACACTCATACATTGACGATTCATGCGGAATAATTTTTATTTGAGAAATTTTCTCTTTTTAGATCCTTATTTTTTTTCCGCATATCAAACAAGATGACGAAAATTCTATTCGTATGCTTTTCCTGAGCCGGCTAGGAAAATGAAATTGTATTGGTATCGCGCAAAAATTGTTCTCTCTCAGTGCCGACTTTTTCGCTTCATTTTCGAAATTACTCGTATATATGTAAATATTCAAATTCGTATAACACACATGGCATTTATAATATATTCACTTTGATCATTTCTTCTTTCTTTCGTTTTCCTTTTCTTGTCTCTTATTATTCATATCACGTAATCGCTCTAATAACAAGATTTTATAATATTATTTTTATTTGTCTTATAATATCTATATATATATATATATATATATATATATATATATATATATCAACGTACAGAATAATATAACTTTTCAGTCAAATCGACGGTACCCTGTGTGGCAAGTAGTAGTAAGCGATTGATTAAACTAAATACTAATTTCAGATTAATATCCCGGATAACAGCGAAGGATCGTGGTTATCGCCTATTTCTCATCTTAATACATCTCGTTCGTCCATCTAAATTCGTTCTAAAATGAAATTATCTATCGAAAATATCTGTAATAATCTTTTCTTTTTTTTCTCAATTCTTTTTTAATTCGCTTCAATTTAATACGTCGATCAATGTGAATTAATGTGTACGTTGTCGATTATCTTTTTCTTTTTTTTTTTTTAATCTTTTCTTTATCTTTTTTTCGTTTATCTTTTAAATATTTAACAACAATAAAGGGAAAGAATAAGGCGGAATCGTATAGAAAATCTTCAACCGGACTTTCGCTTCCACCATCTCGAACTCCGGCAAATGTTAGCGGAGAACAAAAAGATGGAACAGTTTTTCGTTTCTCCATTTCTTTATCTTCTTTTTTTTCGTTTCTTATTTCTTTGTTGTCCCTTTGAAAACAATGAGAATAAAGATTTACTTTTTGAAACGTTTTCCTTTTATGTTTCTTTTCCCTTTTTCATTTAGCAAGATCGCAAAGAGTTGCGAAAATTTCAGAATACCACGTAATTGGTAATTATTTTTCTTCCTTTCTTTTTTCTATTCTTTTTTTTTTTTCTTTTTTCTTTTTACCATGTCGATCATCACAGCTGTCCCTAAGAATAATATAGCACGTGTGCCGATATATGTATGTATATATAATAATTTGCCGCTTTTAAAACATTTTCCCTCTTTAATTAATAATCCCCCTTTACAACTTCTTTATTTTCTCTAACTAACGAGACTCGTAGAGGTAACCGTATTAATTTTTTTTACATCTTTTATGTTTTCTTTTTTCTTTTTTTTTGTTCATCCTTAACTACGTACATATTATTCTAGCGAATTCTCAGCGATCGCATTTTTACGAGATAATAATTTAGTCGGTTCATTTGGAGATCTAAAAATGCGCATTCGCCCAATGATCAAACCGAATACCGGTATATTATCCGAATACCGATAATTATCATTCTCGCTTTCATTTACTTAATCTTTTTTATTCTTTTGCACTCTCTCTCTCCCTCTCTCTCTCTTTCTCTCTCTCTCTCTCTCTCTCTCTCTCTCTCTCTCTCTTTCGTTCCATTAATATACATACTCTACATTTAATCGATCCTTTAATATCATTTAACAGTTTTGTTTTATTAATATTGTAACTTTTAATAATATTTAAAAGATAACTTGTGATTGGTTGTCGCGTCAATGCCAATGGCCAAAATGTACAATACGATTAAAGTTTATATTGTAATATCGTCTCCTCCCTTCAAAAATGCCTGCCTACGAAGACTATACGAAAAACAATGTGGATTATTTATAATTATTATTGTTATGTTGCCATATATATTTTTTTCTTTTCTTATTTTGTGTATCCTATCGAGAGTATATTCGATAATAATCGCTCGATCGACATCCGAACTCTTTTAATACCTCGCTTAAACGTGCTCGACGATCGTATCACTTTTGAAATTTTTCGTAATTCCTTCCCCCACATGCTCGCGAGATCGTTTCTTTCTTCTTGACGAAGGACTCTGCTCATTCTCGATCAGGGTTTGAAATTTTTTTAATAGCAATTTCTTTTAAATTGCAACAAGCACTCGCCTTTAAATTAATAATATACAATTTTATAGTAGCGATGATCGTTGAAATTTTCTTTTCTTTATTTATTATCACGTTATAGATAATCTCGTTTTGAATGAATTAAATAAAAAGAAACGTTCGCGGGCGGAAGGTAATAATAAGTAAACATTTCGCGACCAAATAAAAACGGCAATTCCGAGTAAAAACGAAATTCCTTTGTTGATTTTGTTTGAGATTTATCATCATTTTTTATAACATTCATCACGTGCTAAGGCAATTCCCCATTCTCTCGACGTTAGATTTCGGAATGTGAAGCCTTCGAGTTTCTTTTAATCTTCTACGAGGCGAATATTGTTTAAACAACGATATATATCCTATCGTCGCTTTACTTTTACGAACGAGCCTTTTTCCCCTTTTTTCTCATTTCTTTCTTTTTTCTTTTCTCTTCTCTTCTTTTATTTTCTTTTTTCTTTTTACTTATTATTTTCCCTTTCATTCCTCGTCGCATATTGACCAAAGAGAATTTGCTCGTAGTCGACAGAAATTCGAAGCAACGTTCGCGAAGGAATATGGAAAGGGAAGAGAATCTCTCGTGTAAAAGAAGAGTCTTCTAGTATGAAGTGCACATATTTTCTTTCTCTCTCTCTCTCTCCCTCTCTCTCTCTCTCTCTCTCTTTCTTCTTCCATATCTTTTTCTTCTTTTTAACGAAAAGAGAAGGAGGAAGAGAGAGAGAGAGAGAGAGAGAGAGAGAAAGAGAGAGAGAAAGAGAGAGAGAGGGAGTGAGAGAGTGAAAGAGAGAGAAAGAGAGAGAGAGAGAGAGAGAGAAAAAGAGAGAGAAATAAATGGAACGCTTGATTCCCTCGAGAAAAAAGTCTTCGATTTCCCCTCACCCTCTCCCTCTGTCCCCTTCTCCCGCTTAAGTCTTTCTCTCTTCCTTTCCCAAAAAGTAAAGACAAGAAGAAAAGGAAAAGAGGAAAAAAGATGAACTCGGATTCATATCTTAAACGGAGAGTGTTCGAAATGCAACGAATAATTCGAAAATAGTACAATTTAAAAAAGTAAATATAAGCTATTTTGAAAATCACGAAGTACTGTTTGATTTCGAATTATTCGAAACGTCGAAACACCTATTTAAGTATGTGTGCATGTAGGTATGTATATGTGTATGTATATATATATATGTATACATGTATGTATGTACGTATGTATGTACATATATGTATGTATATACGTACGTACGTATGTGTTGTATGTATATGTGTACGTATGTATGTACATATATGTATATATATACGTACGTACGTATGTGTTGTATGTATATGTGTACGTATATATATAGTACATGACGAGCCGTTCGCTTCTTTAAAACTTGCGTCGGATCGTGAGCTGAAGAAAGATGAGAAAGGTAAAAGGACAAAGAAAAAAAGCGATTAAAAGGGAAGGATAAAAGGTAAAAAGATTTTTACTCGCACGCGTACTTGCATTTAACACGTTAATGTCGAAAAATACGATGCTTCGCGACTGTGTCACTGTGTGTCTCTGTGTGTCTCCCTGTACAAATGTGTATGTGTATTTTTTTGTACGTAAATTTATAAATGTTAGTGAATATTCGTCTGTGAGTGCATATGTGGGCGAAAAAGAGAGTGTCGATAGAAAGAACAGAAATAACGTCGCTTAAAACTAAATTATCGCGCTAAATTGCTATTCCCGTTTATATTCTTTATACCCCCTCCTTACTCACTCTCTCTCGCCCTCTCTCTCTCTCTCTCTCTCTCTCTCTCTTTCTTTCACTCTCACTCTCTCTCTCTCTCTCTGTTTTTCTTTTATTTCTCGTTTTCTTACGCATACATTCTTTCTCTCTTTCTCTTTTTCTTCAAAATCTTTACACTGAATGTCCCCTTACAGTCTAACAAAGAACAGTATTTATATTTGCGTTAGTGCACGCCACTTAAATCGTAGTATAAATCCCCCATTTATTAAGTTGTCATCGATTTACTTACTAGTGATACGGATAATAAAATTCACTGGCATATTATTTGAATCACCTTGGCAGTTCATTGTGTGTATTCTGAGAGTATAACGTGTGCGCTTTGCCTTTTTACCAGTTTTGACACAACGAAGGAGCGATTTGTTTGTTTCGTTTCTTCCTTACCATCGCCGTGCGTCTCTATGTGTCTGTTTATGTGTGTATGTGCACGTATGTGTGTGTGCGCGTGTATGTATGTGTATTTGTGCGTGCATTCGCGTATGCATGTTTATTCGTGTATGTGCACGCATATAATAGATGAGTTTAAGTCCGTCAGTTAAGTCCGTTCGTTTCTGTCCGCATGTTTTTGTGTATTTTCACGTGTGCGAGCTTATTTTAATAATCTGTCCTTCCTATTTACAGCGGAACCCAAGATCCTCAAGATCCGATCCTTCCCTTGGAAGAGTCCTCGATCTTGAGCCGTTCCTGCGTATTTGACATTTTTTCTTTATTCCCCTACCTTTTCTTCTTTATCCTTTTCCTCCTTCTCCACCTCCTCCTCCATCTCTACCTCCTTTTTCTTCTCTCTCTCTCTCTCTCCTTCTCCACCTCCTCCTCCATCTCTACCTCCTTTTTCTTCTCTCTCTCTCTCTCTCCTTCTCCACCTCCTCCTCCATCTCTACCTCCTTTTTCTTCTCTCTCTCTCTCCCTCCTTCTCTCTTCCTCTCTCTCCCTCTCTCTCTTTGTCTCTATTTTTCTCATCGACGTACCCATCGAATTGCTTTATTTTATCTGCATATGTAAACATCTTGGTGTGCTCATGTGTGCGTATGTGTTCTCTTCACGCTTATGTGTACGTACCTCGAAGTAGCAGTCAGGAGATATTGAACGATTTCGAGGGACACAAATTCTTTTTTTTTTTTTTTCATTTTTTTCTTGAATAATTTCAACAACAGATATTTACATAGAATCCTTTGGAGACATTAAACGGATATTTCCGGTTCGATATATTCCGAGAATATTCTTCTAAAGGAACATAAGAATGAAAATAATTATTTTGACAACAACGATAATCAAAAAATTGAACTTAATAAATGGAACAGATTTTTGTGCGATTTTAAGTCGACAAAAAAAAACAAGAAAAAGAAAAAAGAAAAAGAAAAAAAAGAAACAAGAAAAGAGAAAATATGTTGGAACTATTTGATAAGTCCTTTTCAAGATATGAAATAATAACGTGATATAACTATGGAAGAAATATCGACTGCTATCGAGGAACGTGCACGTTTGTGTGTGCTCGTATTCTCTGAGATTTCCGTTGTTCCTCATTTACCCTCTCACGATCCTACTACCACTCTCTGTAACCATCGCGTAGCCACGTACATATATCGACTTGCTGCTTCGATAAGGTGTCCTCGTTCTCCTTTTTCTGTTATTCTTTTTCTTTCTTCCTCTTTTTTTAAAAGAAACGTTACGTTTACGAGACATAAGTCGAGATCGTATGTTCCTTCCAGTATTGCATCCCTTCAACTTCCGCTTTTAAATGACGCGAAGCGTAATCGAGTGCTTCGAGTTTGTCAATGAGGAAGAAGAAGGATCTCGCGATGAACGAGAGAAAAATAGAAGAACGGAAGGAACATCGGTTTTTCTGCTTCTCGATATCGTTTCCCTTTTTTTTCTTCCTTTTCTTTCTTTCGATCATCTTTATCTGCTCCTCCCCATCGTATTTTTTCGCTTTCGCGATCAATCGAGCGCATTCCAGTACGGATCTTCGACGATCAACTACTGGCAGTTGCCTGGGTTTTCTGAATCACGTGACGATGATGTGCGGCGCCGATAATAGGACGGTGATGGTAGCGATGATGGTGAACAGAGTAAAAATGATTAGGCACATTCTGTCGATCACCATCGCCGCAAATTTCCAGTCATTCGTCACCTTTGTGTTTTCCTCGTCGTTTTTTAACTGATCCGTTATCACCTGCGAAAATTAAATATGTTTAAATATAGATCAAATATATTTACATAATCTTTAAAAAAACTCTACGAAAAGCGGAACAAGATGTAATCAAATCCTTTTTCAATTTTTTTTTTTCAATTGTCTCTTTCTTCTTTCATAATAATAACTTAATTTTAACTAAGTGATCAACCGTATGTAATTTGTATATTATATTACTTTAAATAACTGATAACTTTATGTGTAAGTGTTTTTGTATATTAAAATGATCTACGATATAACGCGTATATTTATTGTTTTATTCTTTTTCTTCTCGTATTTTGAAAGAATGATGGATCATTGGATATAACATTCAATGTATTATCGCAATTAATCTTATCGATTACCTTGATCTCCTTGAGGATCAGTATGAGCTCGTAACGCGCGCAAAAGCAGGCGTTCTGAAATATCGTCTCGACCTGTGGCGCCGCCGTGTCTGGCGGATGCTGATGATGATGCGGCGTGTGGCCAAGCTGATGGCCGGGATAGGAAGAGTGAGCTAACGGTGTCGAATGCTGATGATGCGGCGTGGGAGTTGCGTGACTGTGATGATGATGAGGCGTCGTATGTATGTGACTGTGTCCGTGGCCCATCGTATGATGATGTGGACCCGGTGTACTGTACACGTTGTTCAATAAATTGTTATGAGATGCCAGCGCGTTGTCATCCAGGTCCAGGACATTTGCTAACAGTGATTTGCTACTCCTTTGATGCAACTCCAAATCACCGTACGATTTGCTCGTACCTAAAGTCACAATGATATATAGGAATTAATTAATTCATTCAGTAATTAAATTTTATCTGATTTCTTATTACGTTGAATTGTCCGAGTTAATAATTTGCTAACATTTGCTAACAGTGATTTGCTACTCCTTTGATGCAACTCCAAATCACCGTACGATTTGCTCGTACCTAAAGTCACAATGATATATAGGAATTAATTCATTTATTCAGTAATTAAATTTTATCTGATTTCTTATTACGTTGAATTGTCCGAGTTAATAATCTCTTTTCGAACAAACAAGAAAATCGACTTGTTTTTGAAAGCTCAAGTTATTGAATTTACGTGCGAAAGTCACACTCAGACACATGTTTCTTTTTTATTTTATTTTATTTTATTTATTTTTTTTTACATTACCGGTGACCGGAGATGGTTTTTGAGATTTCTGTGCGTCTTTTTCCTCTTTGTCGGTCGGTCGTGACATTCGGAGTAAGCATGGTAACCAATATAGGAAAAGGATCCTGACCTGTAATACAAAATTTATAATGAAATTGATCGAACCTATAAAAATTGTTTGAAATTTAATGTTAATAACAATAGATACAAAAGAAAATTACCCATTCGGACATCTCGTGAGTGTCAGCGTTTCGATGATGATAATTCAAAATGAGGATCGTACTGACGACACTGCTGGCGACCATAAACATGATGCAATTGAAATACGTCCCTGTAACATCGATCGACGAAGGTCATTATCTCCTAATGAAATATTCTATTTATCGACTTGACTTTTTGATGAATATTACGACAAAGAAGGAACAATGGAATATTGAAAGAAAAAAAACGAAGGAGGATTCTTCGTACTTACCTAAGAGCGGGACGGCGTCCGACGTAGCTGGCATTGTTTCGGCCACCATATTAAGGAACACAGTGAGAGATAAGAGAATTGTTACCCCTGTAAATAAAAAATAATGCCATTGAAGAGTCGTTAAATTAATAATAGCCAGAATTTCAAGAGGAAAAAGTTCAAAAATTAATATTCGAAAATTAATCCTCGAAAAAAGAATCTTCTGAGATATCTCAAGTTAACAGATGCTACCGCGACTTGTCCTTCGACCGTAACTCACTCTCAATTGAGAAATTTATTTGAAGATCAAGCGACTCGTCGCGTCGTGATCATTAAAACTTGCAAAACTTTATCCGAAACTCGGACTCGTCCTGAATATTCTCGTCTCGTAACGTGTTAGTTCTTAACCGGACACACTTTCGACGGTCCAACAAGTAGCCACCGAATCGATACTTCGTTCTTTATTCGATGTCGTCTTAAAATAAAATATGTTACTCCGATAAAAATACGATATATGTATATAATATTTCTCTTTCTCTTTCTCTATCTATATACATATATAGAGAGAGAAAGAGACACAAGTCTCTGTTATTTTATCCTTTTTTATTCGTTCCTTCGAATTTTCAACGAATCATTTCTTTTAGACACTTTTCCTTTATCTTCTTATTTTCTGATAGAAAAAGAATGAAAAAATATTTGGCGAACATACATATATAAGTATATACATATTATGTATTTATAGGTAAAAATCATCATATATATACTTTATTTCTTTCTTGGCAGACTTTCGTAATGCGGAAACGTAAACTATTGTTTCGTCAGTACGCGCTTCAAAATCGTAAGGCATTTCTTAGGATTCTTAAAAATCCACCGAGACTTTACTAGAATACTTCCTGTTGGTATTTTTGCTGGCACACTTTTCAAATGCAGAATTTCAATTTGTTTTATCTCTTTGTAGTTATCTCTTCATAGTAAAGTTCAAACTAGAGTAGTCTTTAAAAGAGGGTGAAGATGAATATATGGGAAAGAACGGAGATTGAGGAATTCGATAGAAGGATCGAGGATATTTTTTGTAAGATTTGTTGGCACAGGTACATTGAGAATCTAGAGCGTACCGTGCTCGAAGGAATGCGGGCTTGCAAGCAAAAGTCATGTCAGCGCGTCTTGGTTACTATTTTTTGATAAAGGAACCGACGCTCGTTTTTCGAATCAAGTTTTCTAATCAAGAATTTCGTTTCCAATGTTTAGGAAAATTGATAAAGGAGATATCATAAGACGTAACCGATGATATTCGATTACTAACTAATAATAGAAAATAATCCTTACCGAGGGAGAGTTTCTCGCCGGAATCGGGTGGCAGGGTGAATCCCAAAACGGCCATGCTGGCGATTAATACGCACGGCACGATTAGGTTGAAAAAATAATAAAGCGTACGTCTTCTAATGATGACCACAAAGGTGATGTCTATGTATGGTTCCGGGCAGCAATTGTAATAAATTTCGTTTCTTTTGCCAGGTACTCCTGATGGCAAAGAGAAAAGAAAAAAAAATGTATTTGCATTATCATAGACGTATCTATAAACACATATCGTTAAATCATTCTCATGTAACGTATCTATGTAAATACTTTCGCAAATAATCTTTTTACATCTATATTTCTTTTTGTAAGAAAGATTTTAGTTGAATGAACGACATACTGGGAAAATCGCTTGAAAACTCTTTTTCTCTCCTTCTCTCTCTCTTTCTCTTTCTCTCTCTCTCTCTCTCTCTCTCTCTCTCTCTCTCTCTCTCTTTTTCTTTTTCTCTTATTACGGAAATTGGAATGATATTTCATTCATATCTTGCACGAATAAACGTGGAAGAAGTCGAGCTTATGACGTGGATGAAAAGAACGGTCTCGCTTTTATTTTTAACCGATTTATAACGTTCGCAGTTGTTGTTTCATCCTTCGTTGTTGTTCCTTCCCTCCTGTTGAAGCAGCAGACAGGGGCTTTACTTAAGATGCATTTCTACTGGGAACATTGTGATCTCGTCGCGAGCGCATGCACGGTTTTACTCCCTTGCGTGTAATATATCTACATTCATGTAGCGAGAAAAGATACTGCGATGCCGAGTCGACGTACACTTGTAAATTTACATTTTTATATTGCAATTTAAGGAGGTACGAATAAAATGGAGGAGAGAGAGGGAGAAAGAGAGGGAGAGAGAGAGAGAGAGAGAGAGAGAGAAAGAGAGAGAGAGATCCGAGCAAAAAGACTCGAGAAGTTCATGGATGTTTCTCCCAAGAGAAGTATACGCAATTATTGTTTTCTCTCTTCTTCTCTTCTCTTTCCTTTATTCTCTCTCTCTCTCTCTCTCTCCCCCCCCCTCTTTCTTCCTTTTTTACTTTTTGTTCTGTCTTCGGTTTACTCTTTTATGATGTATGTGCAAGTATTGTCCGTAAGTTTAACGAGAAATTATCTTCTTTCGAGTCAGCTTGCTATGTATTTGTTAATTAGACTTTATCCTTTGTTTGCATTAATTGAGAAGTCGTAGTGGTCGACTTCCCAACGACGAATGAAATTTGATAAAAGGGACGGATTAAAAGCAATAAGTTTATCGTCCGACGGATCACATGGTAAATATTAATATCTCTTGAATTTTCCCAGGAATGGAATCCTCTATTATTTCGTTTAATTAGACTTCGCTAATATTTCTCTCAGAATAAAATGGATTTGTGGATTAAATTTAAAGATCGTTGATAGGAGTAGATCCGAGAATGTATTACGTGTATGGATAGACATTCTTTTTTTTATGACGAAAAGAATAATAAATATATATTCTCATAATAGTGACGAACTCGTTATCAATTTTATCGATCGGCTATTCGATTTTTGTCTATTAATTTTGGTGATGAGTGTTGTCACAAAGAAAATCCATTATCAGGATTGGAATCCAAATTCATCGAAGCAAAGAGCGAAAGCCTTTAAATGCGTTGATCCTAGGAATATTTGTCCGATAACGATATGACGACATACAAAGGATAGGTCTCATCGATCATTTCGACCGAAAATCGATCGTTCGATGGAACACGTCTCTATGATCCCTTACCATTCGTGAAGGATTTTAGAATTGCTAATCGGCTAAGAGAATTATTCGCGATGGTGATAAACTATGCTCTCTCATTTCTCTCTCTCTCTCTCTCTTTCTCTCTCTCTCTCTCTCTCTCTCTCTCCCATTCTCTCTCTATTTATCTATCTTTTGTATAAAGAAAGAGAGACAGAGAGAGAGAGAGAGAGAAAGAGAAAGAGAAAGACAGAGAGAGACAGAGAAGCTAGGTTTTGATAAGAGTTTGTAAAAACTCACCTAACAGATCCCACTCGCCGTTAGTGATAAAACTGCTGATGTCACCTCCTGATTCGTCTTGCAGTTGCAGGTCCAACTGTTAACAATTTATTACAAAATGTTTAAATGTAATATAACTGATATAATTATTCATATCTCATAATATAAAATAGTTTTATTTCGTTTTTTCTTTCTTTTTTCTTTTTTCTTTTTTATTTTTTTTATAGGAAGTGAATCTGTAATTGCGATTTACTTTACATCTCATTGATATTATGCTCTCACCTTTTCGAAGATCAATATGATATTTAGGACACAATGCAATGTATAGAGAATTAATTACTGCATGAGAATCGTTAAATGAAAATAAGGGGTCTAACTGAAAAAATAAAAAAATAGAAAAGAAAAGAAAAGAAGAAGAAAACTGTTTTGCATCTGGTTAGTATTCAACTGATCGAAACTGGTGAAATGAAAACTGCACAATCTACCCTTTAACTTTTCTCCCGCTTATCATTCGATTCGATGAACTTTCGAGCGTCATCGATCTCTCTATCTCTTTTACTTCTTTTTTTTACTTCGTTTTGTCTACATCACCTCGTATATTTAACGCGAGTGCTTATTTTGTTAAGCCAAGTGTTCTTATGTGAGAATTGATTTGGTTCTCGAGCGCTTTCTGTTCTTTCTCTCACTCTCTTTCTCTCTTCCTCTCTCTCTCTTTCTCTCTCTCTCTCTCTCTCTCTTTCTCTCTCTCTCTCTCTCTCTTTAAGTAAACGGAACAAATTATCGATTTGGTGATTTTCTTTTTTTATTATATCGGAACTGGTTATCTGTCGAACGCGAACACATGATATTTGACCATGTACTAGCCGTGAATACTCGCCGAATAAAAAAAATATCAAAGTATGTTTCCTTTCGAAAGACGAACTATATTCTATTCCATCGGAACTTTTTATCGCGTATACATGCAATACTAAATAATAATATCACATTTCAATCAACTTATTATAAAATTATTGACATTTGGTAGTTGGTAAAAAAATTTGATTCATCCTCTTATTTGTTTTTGTTTGTCTTTCTTTCTTTTTTTTTTTTTTTTTTTTTTTTTTAATTTCATTTGAATTATCCAGTACTCTTTTTGTAAATAGTATATATATCGGTAAGATACGCGATGGAGTAACACTTCTATAGACGTTTATTTCTCAAGTTTCTTTTTGCTCTTGAGAAAGAAGTCTTCTTGATATAGAATGAGAAAGAGAGAAAGAAACGATACTTCCGAGGATGTACAGGGATAAGAAAAAGAAGAAGAAGAAAAAAAGGAAAAAGAGAAAAATAAGAGCAGAAGAAAAAACAACAGAAAGCGTATAAAAGCAAGTAGTGTGAGTAGGTTGGTAAGTACGGAAGTATCGCTGACCCCATTTCAAAATGTTCCTTACCTGAAAGCCGTCGTAAGTCCAAGAGCCAAATTTCATCTCACAGCGCTGATCGTCAAAGGGGAACCAGGTAATGTCTATCTTGCAAGTGCTCTTGAATATACCAGGCGGCACATATAAGCAGGTGCCATTGTTCTTTACGACGACGTTCGTTGGATAAGTACCGTCGAACCCTTCGTCCGCGCTGCAACGGATTAAGAAGAATGATGAGAACGTGCTCTTATCAATGATCCTCCAAACGATTTATTATCGACGTCAGACGATCGAACGATTGGGCGATTTTCCCTATTACCGATTCTTCAAAAATATTGAATGACATTCTTTTATCGGAAGTACGAATTAGATCGAAAATTCAACGTTTCTTTTTTTTTCTTCTATCATTTTTTTTTTTTCATTTTTCTCAGTTCTTTTTTTTGAATTCCCCATTTAATTTTCTCTATCAAAAAGAATCAACTTTCTCTTCGTCGCAGGATGAAACACGAAGAGAAAAGAAAAAAGTCAAGGGGATGTCCGTTTTCGTGTCTGTTTTCCATTAGTATCTCAAAGGACTGGAAAGGCACAGTGAGACCGAAAACCGTAAGACCGAAACCAATTTCTAATAGAAAGGATTGGCCTGCTTTTGGACGATTGTGCTTTACGCTTTGCTTCGATGCATCCGAAGATTTCATCCAAAGAAGATGTAATGGGACAGACAAGAGACAAGATATACTTGCAACCGATCGACTTGTATGTTCTCATGAAAAAGGTTTCTTTAAACTAAAGCACGAATGGAATTAATTGGATTCTCTAATTCCTATTAGAAATTTCAACAAATTTCATTAACTTGAAACATTTATGTCCTTTGAACATTCCCAACGATATATCTAATCGAATTCATCGATACAATTTCGTAAGAATCTTTAGAATAGAATTCGATATTCGATTAATATAGATTTATTTATAAAAAAAATTCATTATAAAAAATAAAAAATTAAAAAAAAAGTAAATAAACCAAAGTAACTTTATAAATTAATTATTATGAAATATTATTATGTAAATTTTCTTTTTTCATTTCTTTTTCATTGTAAAATATAGTCGCGTAACTAATGTGAATGAATGGATAATAACGAACACCCGGTGAAAAATTATTTAATTAAATCCACGTTAGAATGGCCGCTTGCTTCTCAATGAAGTCTTGTACTTTTTTTAATGCGCTTCAACGAGTTCCCTCCGCAACCACTATCCATGTTGCGACCACCAACGACGTACTGAGACACCGAGAAATCTCTTCTATAACTCCTCGAGAATCATCGAACAAATATATAATCGTGATTCGAGTATCATCCTCGTTATGTGAAAATTCGTCTTTCAATAGTCAAACGAGATACGAAAACCACTTCAGGTTGATTTAACCTTTATTAAAACAAAAAAATTATAATAAAGAAAAAAAGAAATAGATGACTCAGGAATTTTTATTTGGCTTTTGTTTTCGATTATTATTTTTTATTTTAAAATATGACACATATAGGAAAAATTCAAAGACGATTACATATATTTTTCAATGATTTTAAAACGTATTTGTTTAAGTGTTCTTTTTCATATTTCTTTATTTTACCTCGTAATCATTGTTATATAAAATGCTGGATACCACAAAGTTTCCAATGAATATATATATATATATATATATATATATATATATATATATATATATATATATATATATATGATAAGGAATAAATGCCTTTGCAGAATTTAATTGGGTAAAGTACACAGACCTTAAGAGTACGTAACTCAGGTAACTTTCTGGTCGCTTAACAGCATTTAAAATTAAACGAACGACGAGAATTCTCAATAGTCATTGAAAAAATCATAAAGCAAATATGCATATCGAAGTAACTTTTTTGTAATATTTCCTAGTATTGATTTTTTTTACTTTTTAATTGCGTGATTCTATGTCAATTGCTTTGACATAATCAATAAAAAATTGTATATGTAAATATATACATATATATATCTGTGTGTAGAGTATATTTGTGTGTAGAGAATACCTTATAATACATAATTATATATAATCTTATACATGTTCTTTGTGTGTGTATATAGCTTTTAATCGTTCCTTCTCATTATTTTAAATTGGCAATTACTAATTAAAAAATTATATTTGCAAAAATTTTAGACGATACGAGATACTCGTCGGCAGTTTATCGAAAAGAAATCGAAATTTCGAAGAGGATCGAACATTTGGAAAGAAATGACGTAGTTTTAAGAAGTATTCTTCTTTACGAGAAAATAAACGGTTGAAGGTTGGTCTTTCGTTCCCTCTAGGGTTTCAACCCTCTTCTTTGCGAGAAGAGATGCGAACCTCGCAGCATGCGAAATATGATTTTGAATGGAATGCATCGGGACGATTCTACGGGGCCACGGATATAAGGCGGGTGAATGGTATACATAATACACTCCCTCGTCCAGGCGACTAAGGATTGGTTGGAACTCAGCCAGTTGGCCACAACCCAATCCGTTATTTCATTCTTTTTGAATCCACCCTCCGAACCCACCTCGCCACACCCACCACCACCACCAACGGCAAAAGCGGAGCCAGCCGCTACCCCTAAACGCACGATCGTTTCATCCAGCGTTTCACCCACCCTCTACTACCACCCTTCTTTTCTCTCTCTCTCTTTCTCTCTCTCTCTCTATCTATCTCTCTATATCTCTATCTATCTATCTCTTGCTCGTTTCTTTTTGTCGCATGCTCAATTCGCAGAAGCGGCGCCGTATGTGACATCGAAAATTAAATTCCCATCGAAGCATCAACATCCACACACTCACCGTTTTTCCTCGACCATCTTTTTACTCCACTTCTACTTTCTCTCTCTCTCTTTCTTTCTCTCTCTCTCTCTCGCTTTCTCTTTTCTACTTTTTTCTCTCTTTACACTTACACTCCATCTTCCTCTTCCTGACGAAAGGTTTAGAGGTCGCTCGTATTTACGCGAGTCGAAATCGACCAGGTAAATAGTTACGATTCGCCAAACGTTCTCTTCTCATTCCTCTGTGACCTACCGTGATTGCTTCTAGCTTTACTGAAAAATCGAAATACTTGATCGAAGAGGACAGACAGAGACATAGATAGAGATAGAGAGATAGAGACAGAGAGATAGAGATAGAGATAGAAAGAGAAAGAGAGAGAGAGAGAGAGGGAGAGAGAGAGAGACAGAAAATCGGTGGCTAAATTCGAGTTCGACCTACGATGGAGTTCGTACCTATGAATGTAACTGAGATGAAATGCCACAGGCGATGCTTCTTGTATCCCTTATAACGTTTCCCTCCGCCACGATTACGATTAACGGAAATGGAATTTCCTTCGAAGATCGTGACTTGCTCAAGTCAATATTAGCTTGGTTATATCCTTATGAAGCGAATATACGATATGAAGGACTACTGTATAACCATACCTTTTGACTATTATCGATATATATGCTCTTTTAAACGCTTACTGCGTAATTAATGGGCAGGCGTTGGTGACGCGACAACCGCGTACACGATGCGTTACTTTAATAGCTTTCTTGTTTAGAATGATAAACGAGCTGGTTTCTATACTACAATAGGGAAGAACTTGATGATGAGCCGCTAATGAGTTACTTTTCTCTTCATGTATTTAATGAAGAAAGGACTGTGTTTTAGGAAATTCGCAGGCCAAAGGTGTAACATTCTAACGTTAACTTTCCATCCTTTTCATCCGTTTTGTCTATCATACTTTGTTTCACGTTAGCTTAATCCCGAATTAACGAACATTCATTCATTTATAAAGGCTCGTACATCATTTCATATATTCGATTGTATTAATTTTGGTATACATATTATGTACACATTGAGAACTTATTTTGATAAATTAATAATAAATTTGTAAATGCCTCCAAATATTCAATGACTCGTGAATAATACTTTCCATTATTATGTATATAAGCTGAACTGTATAATGCAATATATTGTGATCGTCTAAATATTATATAAAATGATGAAAAATGATCCGTAAAAGATGAATTACAATAATTTTTTAAAAATGCGGCTAAAATAAAGGAAAAAATGTACTATGTTCGCCGATTATTAAGCAAGTTATTTTCATTGCATTATGAAGGAGTGTTCATTCACTCTGTAGATATATTCACACGTTAAAGATTTTATAAAAGAAAAGAACACCAAAGAATACGACACACAAGAAAGAAGAGCGATCGACAGCATTACTGTCGACCATAGAGAAACTCGGATATACTTTGAGTGCACTCTAAGTGCAATGTTGCAGCGTCATCTGGTTAGACGAGAGGTAAGGTTTCTTCTTGAGGCATTCAATAGGATGATGCCATGAATATCAAGGGTAGCCATGGTACTCATGTCATTAACCGTATTACTTTCTTTTTTTCAAAGGATAACGATTATCTTTGAAACGATGAATAATGTTTTGGAATTGTTTTTTTGCATTCATCGTGTGAGTGCTGAAAAGCTCTTTAGTTTCTCGATAACCTCGAGTAAAAATTTTATCGGTTTTAGTAAAATGCTGTTCAATTTAACATACTTCCTGAAAAATCCAATGCTTTTGCAAATACGTGGGCGAGTGTCATTGTCATTCGTGCGAGCTTCCAACTAATCCTACCTTTCGCACGTTTGAAGGAAACCTATTTCAGGCTGTGGAATTCCCTTGCAACCATTCTCCGGTTCACCCTTCTCTCCATTCCTCTACGTAATAGTAGCTACATGTTATTCCGTTATTGCGCGACATTTGGCACGAGTCGTGAACAAGAGAGAGAGAGAGAGAGAGAGGGCGGGGGAATAGAGAGAGAAAGAGAGAGAGAAAAGAAGGTTGGAACAATGGTGGTAAAGGGCATGATGGATTCCATCTGGTCGATTGTATTCATGATATCGCTCGATAATGTTCATACCCGTGAGGCTCGAAAACCACTTAATCTTCGTCGAGAATACAGGAGAAAGATAGTGTCCTACCTAGAGAGATAGAGAAATACCTGCCACGTAGCGAGTGAAACAGAGAGAGAGAGAGAGAGAGAGAGAGAGAGAGAGAAGAGAAAGAGAGATGGAGGCCGAGAGTGGGCATGCAATCGAAATTGCATACGAATCGTACTTTCCGGCAGGAGCTGCCGGTACATTGTTCACCACGCTGCAAGCGATCTATTCTCTCAATACCTAATTACTAGA